CGGCCCCGGCGCCCAGGTCCCCGCGCATCCCCGGCGCAGACCCGGGCGGAGGCCGGCCCCGCCCCGCGGGAGGTGCTCGCGCTCACCTGGCCGGGCGCCCCGGAGCCGGGGTTGAGAGGGCCGGGCCGGCAGGCAGGGTCGCGCCCCCCGCGCCCCCAGGCACAGGCAGAGGCCTGGCAGCTTCGCCCGGGGAGAGGTCGTGGCGACCCCGTAGAGCCTCACCTCCCGGCAGGCCCACGCCCACTTCGGGCTCCCTGGCCCTCATGTCCCTCACCCAGCGGGGAAGCTGCCACCTGAGAGGGAAGAATGGAGCTGAACCGCTTCTTGGTGAGCCCAGAGATATATTTGGGGGCATTTGGTGCAGGGATCCAGACTGTACAGGTGATAAGCATAAGCAAGATTCGGCCCTCCCCGGGGTTTGGTGTCAGGCTGATAAGATGTCCGGGTGCCCTCCGAGGCTTTTTCAGTGTTGGCACCATGTGGCTTTGGGGTGCAGGGCTTGGTGCCCCCACAGCCACCCTCCACACCTGGCTCGGGGCTCTGGGGATACAGGGCCCCCGCTTGACAAAGCCAGGGGAGCCCCGCTGCAGCTCACAGTTCTCTCCAAGTATAGTTTTGGGGAGTTTTTCAGAATGATTCATCTTAGGTACTTGATTGTTTTAAAGCCACAAGCTGTCGCTGGAGATTCCCTCTGAATTTTTAACCTCAGTCTTGCAGGAGGTGATCTGACAATTCAGAACACCGCTCACTGGGAGTCCTGGGAGAACGCAGGGAACATGGTTAGTAGAGACCAGACTCCCCCGCCACCACCACACACACAACTTTGCTACCTAGTGTAGAACTTACTTATGGCAGCCCAGTGCCTTTGGGTTCATCCCTGGGCCCGTTTTTTTAAAATTGTATTATTGCGGCTTAAGGAGTTAACATTCTTGGTTTAGACTTCGCAGTCCAAGGCCGACGCGAACCTCTCAGGATCTCTGTCATTGTGCCAGGGCAGCTCGAATAATGAGCACAGCAAGGTGGGCCGGTGCAGAGGCCCTCATCCTTGTCATCCCCACTGCTCTGTGACTGGGGAAGCTCCCCACAGAGCGACGTTCTGGGAGAGGCTGTGGCCACGGTGAGATACCAGGGTCTGAGAACTGGCAGGTAGCTCCACACGCTCCCTCCAGCATCAGAGCTGTGACCCAGGACAGTTGTGAATTCACTGCAGTTAACTGTCTTTGAGGATTAAGTTTTTCCAAACTTGAATTTCGAGCTCTTAAATTCATGCTTTCTTTCAAAAAAAAAATTTATATATATATATATATATATATCTTACTAACTGAAGCTTCAACCTCTGAACTAGATGTTTCTGATTTTTTTTACCCTGGCAGTCAAAAATCTATTTCAAAAGTGAGCAAAGGATGCCCAGGGGGGGATGAAGACATAATCCCCGAAAAGCTTTGCAAACGTTGCCTGCTGTGTCGTCCCACTGAAACTGGCCTTGAGAATTTCAAGGAATTACAATAGATGCTTTTACAGTACAGTTTCACTCTTTGGGCACGAATCCATAATAGCGAATGGCTTGCCTCTGAATTTGTGGTGCCCTCTGGTTAATTGCTGGTTGCACCTGCTTGGGCATGTCTGCGCCTAGGTGGCCGGCCACACTTTCTTGGAAAGGACTGTGGTGTGTAAACACAAGATGATATGCTTGTTGGAACAGAAGCTCCTGGTAGAGGAGGATCTGTGTTGAAAGCAAAGCAGATAGGCCAGTTCCAGTCTACCCACTGACATTGCACGGGTGGTGACAGCCTCACGTGGCACTATTATGGGGTGGAAATCCATTTCCCTGTTCATATAAATGCTGCAGAGCTGTTCTCTTGCATCTCAATTGCTCTGCATTCCAATTTTTGGGAGGGGGTGCGGGTGGTCAGGGGAGATGGGAAAAACTGGTGAGGGATGAATAGTTATGTGACGTGTCATGTTTTCTAAGTGACTCTTCACCGAGTACACCATGTTCCCCTCTGCCGCGGTGGTCCCCGACCTTTAGTACAAAGGCTGTGTGTGAGCAGGCCTTCCAAGTGTTCACAAGACCGGCCCAGCAGCCCTGCTGGTGCAGCCACGTTTGGTCTGAGATGCGGGGGCCAGAGTAACCGCAAGGATGGAAGAGGGCTCAGGACAGTGTTTGGGGCGGCTTCTCTGCGAATTAGCTAGACAGAGCAATCTGAGCCCATTAAGACTACCTGACAGATACACGTTTGACATTTTTAAATAAAAAGGCTTTAGTATAAGGGACTCTTTCGGGACGTTTGGGGAAATCATTTTTTAGTTGCTCACCTCACGTCACTTTTTATTTCAGGAGCTTGTTTTTCGCATCAAGAATGCAATGACCCGCGAAGTCTCACTAAGCTTAGATTCACATAGTCATTCTCTTTAACCCGCGAAGAAGCATGTGCGGACTTGATCTCGTTGGCACTTCTTGACAGCCTTTGCTATAAAACCCCGCTTCTCTTGCAGAGAAGATGGAAGGCCCAAGTAGGAGCGCAGGACGGGGAGGGATGCCGGCGCGTGCTTCTGCGTGAGCGCGGTGCCCATGGCTCAGAGCAGTTCCTAACTCGGTCTCCGCAGCCCGCGTCCCCCTGCAGCTGAGCACGCCGAGGCCTAGGAAGCATGAGTGACCTGCCCGGCGCCCCCAGCTCGCCGGGCCTCAGCCTCTGACCCGGCCCTCTGGACTCTGGCCCGGCGGGCTGTTTCTCCGTGGCCGCGTATACCAGCAGAGTGGCGTCAGACCAACGTCCTCTCTTTCCTCTCAGGATGTGAAAGGGGCAGAAAAATAAAGAACCGCCTCTCTGCACGTCTCTCCCCGTCTGCTAGAATGTTTCTCATGAACGCCCCTCCTGTGGTTGCTCTCCAGTCAAAATGGGAGGCCTTTGGCACACCGGGGGGCTTTAGGTTTCCTGGGTGCTTCTCGGAGCCAAAAGAGGGCGTCTCGAGAGCTTCAGTGAGTGCCAAAGTGCAGATGGTCATCAGCACACTCCAGAGGGACGAGGCTGCTCTGGGCATGAGCGATGAGCTTGCCCTGCAGAGAAGCCAGAGGGCAGAGAAAGGCCGGGACACCAGGCTGGCCGCCACCCCTGCGTTTGCTGCCTGTGGTCTCAATGCTGATTTTGTCCCCTCGAGGGAGGAGGAGGCTGCAGACTTTGGCCCCTTGGTGCTGGATTCGGACAGTGACGACTCGGTGGACCGGGACATTGAGGAAGCGATCCAGGAGTACCTAAAGGCCAAGAGCGGGGCCGTCCAGCCACCTGGGGCCACAGATGGGAGCAGGCGGTCCAAACCAGAGGTTCCTCTGAGTAGTGCCCCGACTGCCCCATGTCCCCTGAAGTTTGCACCCAGCTCAGGAGGCGCCCCTGGCAGCTGCGTGGGAGCCGGCCAGGACCGGGGCTCCGCCTCCCCGGTTAGTGTTAGCAGCGACGACTCTTTCGAGCAGAGCATCCAGGCAGAGATTGAACAGTTTCTGAACGAGAAAAGACAACACGAGACCCCAAGATGTGATGTTTCCGTGAACACGAAACCAGACCCCAGCGATAATGCAGCCAGATCAGCATTTAGATCCAGCAAAGAGCCGACAGCCAAGGCACATCGGCCGGAAGTAATGGGACCCTGCAAGGACTTTCTCTTCCGGAAACCTCCCAGGCTAGCAAAGGTGAGCACACGGCCCCGAGGCCTCAGGTCCAAGGCCACTGCTGAGCCAGAGAGTGCGGACAGCGCGAAGCCAGCCACCGCTGCCGGCCGCCCTGCGGAAGCAGCCCAGAATAAAGGCGTGGTCAGGAGGAGCGCCGGGCGGAGGACGAAGCGAGCCAAGAGTGCGGCCCTGGTGTGCAAGGCGTCCGGCTCCAGCAGTGATGATGGCATTGAGGAGGCCATCCAGCTGTACCAGCTGGAGAAGAGGAAGGAGGCGGGCAGAGACCCGCCGCAGAGAACGCCGCTCGGGGAGGGGAAGGGGCCTGACCCTCCAGCACACAGCACAGGCCACTCCACAAAAGGTGCTTTGCCCGAAACCCATAGGAAAACACCAGGCAGGAAGAAGCAGGTGGTCCCAAAGGCCGTGGACCTTAGCCCAGGTGGCCCTGACCCTGACCACCCCTCCAAGCCACCCAGAGATCCCAGAGCTGCCGAAAACGAGCTTGTGGATCAGCCGCCATGCCGGGCAGACACGTCCGCTGAGCTGATGTGCGCCGAAGCAATCTTGGACATTTCCAAAACCATCCTGCCGGCCCCCGCGGGGGGCAGTGAGAGACCCCAGCCTGCCAGCCCACTCTCCTGCCCCCTAACCGTGCCTTCCCGCTGTGACGGGGACAGCAGCTCTGTGGACAGCAATGACAGCATAGAACAGGAAATCCGGACATTCCTGGCTCTGAAGGCTCAGTCAGGGTCTTGGCTGGCCCGAACAGAGAGCTTCCCGCAGACCACACCGAGCCCAGCGCCGCCACCTGGCCCTAGGGTCCCCAGCTCTAAAACGCTGGGCCTGTCGCTGAGCTGCAAAAGGAAACGCAGAGGAGTCAGCCATGCTGTGCCACCATCCACACCTAAGAAAGCGAGAGAGACGGCGCAGGAGGGCGCCCGGGATGCCGACCACAGCCCCGTGAGCACACAGCCTGGCCAGGCCCCCAGGGCGGAAAGCCAGACCAGGGGCCAGCCCCTCCCCTGCAGGCCGCTTGAGCTGGGTGACCAGCACGGTGGCCCCAATGCCAGGGGCAGCGTGTGGCCTGGCCACGGGAAGGCAGCCCCAGCGAGGAGCGCAGGGGAGCAGGGGAGCTCTGCAGACAAGAGCAGCTCCCTGGACAGCGACGAGGACCTGGACACTGCCATCAAGGACCTACTGCGGTCCAGGCGGAGGCTCAAGAAGAGATGGAAGGACCCCAGGGCCGCGTGCAAGAGGAAGGTCAGGTTTAGCACCACTGAGCCCCAGTTCTTGGATAAACTAGGCGGCTTCCGGAAAGACTGGAAGGACAGAAGCCCCCGTCTATTGAAAAGCTGCCTCTCGAAGCCCAAAAAGGACAGCAGGGAGAACCTAGGGAAAAAGCCTTTGAGCGTCTCCTGCAGAGACACAGAGAGAACCAGGGCAGACGGCGCCGGCCCCGGGGATGCGCCCCCCGCCCCCCAGCTCAGGAGAAAAGCCTCCGAAGGGAATCTGTTCTGCCATGAAGCTGACGCCTGTGAACTTCAAGGTGCAGCCCCCAGCTCCCAGCCTCCGCCCGAGGACAGCAGCTCCGTGGACAGTGACGACAGCATCGAGCTGGAGATCAGGAAGTTCTTGGCTGAAAAGGCCAAGGAGTCTGGGAGCGGCTCAGAAGCCCCAGGAGGGGGCCCAGGCACCCCGGGGATGGGGAGCGTGCCCAGGCTGGAGCTGCCGTGCCAGAAGGTGCCAGCACCCGCCCTTGCCCTTCACCCCGGCGTGTGCACACGGAGCCAGCGGGGCAGGGGCGGGCCTCAGCTGGCCGGAGGCCTGGAGGACACGGGGAGAGCCTGCCTTCTGGGCGGGAGGAGCAGCCCCCGCACAGAGCAGGCCTGCCTCCCTGCAGCTGTGGCCAGGCGCGCCAGTGTGGGGGGGGCCCTGTGTGCCAAAGGGCCAGCTGCTGGCCGGCGACTGGTTTGCACTCACAAAGATCAGAGCCCGAGAGGGACCGAGCGTGCCAGGGAACGTGCTGTCGGGTCGCTGCCCTCTCGCGTTCAAGCGGGCGCCTGGGCAGAAAGCCCTGGTGTGGCCTTTGCTGTGACCACGCAGGGCCAGAGCCCACGGACTCGGAAGCCGGGAGCAGATGGGCTGGGGAGCCCCCAGGCTGGCCTTGCCCTCCCGTGGGCCGACTTTGCCCACCAGAGTCGGTTGCAGAGCATGTGGGCGCTGAGCCCTGAAGGCAGGGAGGCTGTGTGGAGAGGGGGCCTCGGGGGCCAGAGAGACCAGGGGCCGGAATGCCAGGACCCCAAGAAAGGCCTGCCCTTCACGGGCTTCTCCTCGCTGCTGTCCACACAGCTATTCCACTTTGGAAAGAGCGCCTCCTGGGGGGGCAAGCCTGCCAGTGTCTTCAGCCCGCCCCTGAGTCTGCCCCTGCAGGGCCCATCCTTCTCGGCCTTCAGAGAGACCCCGGCGGGCCACAGTCCCGTGTTTGGAAGCTCACACCTGCTCGCGAAGAAGGAGGGGGGACACTGGCCCAGCCGGAAGTCCCAGGCGGCATGCACTCTGCACGCCAGGAGGAACTCAGGCTCTGAGGAGGACGTTCTAGACCTGAGGTACAGGCGGAGGGCCATCAGTGGAGGTGATGAGGCCCAGGATGCCTTGGGCAGTGAGTCCAGTGAGCTCAGTGACACCTCCGTGGAGGAGGGCGGTGGCCCGGAGGCCAAGGGCAAAGCCCTCCAGCCGTGAGGACGCTCACTGGCTCCGTCTTCACGGGAAGCAGACAGACACGCGTGTACCTGTGTGTGCGTGTGACGCTCACCACCCCAGGACAGAAACCGGAGGCCACTCTGCGCCGCCCTGTACATATTATGTCCACTGGGAGCCATGGTGTTATTTAACGAATGTGTCCTGGAAAATATGATTTTTGTAGCTTTTTTGTAAATTATTTAAAGTGCTGTAAAAAATATTTTTGGAAAATACAGTTGTTCGGTTTTGTAGGGCGTGCCTAACCGCAGCTTTCCATGGCGTACAGGCGAGTGTTAGACAAGTGGACACATGACCATTGCAGCCAGGGTTGACGTGAACCCAACTCTGATAGTCTGGGGCGATTGCTGCTGGAAGGTAGCAGTGGCCACCCACCCGCCTGCCCCAAGAATCACAAAGGTGCCCGCAGAGGTCTCTGCTGGGAAGCTGCCGGACAGCACCTGTGACATAGGGTCCCCGGTCCCGCGAGGCCAGAGCGAGGCTTCTGGATGCCGCACTTGGAAGACATCTCAAAGCACAAAGTTCAGCAAGCACACGGACTGGCCGACCCCTGTTGCACGTGGAAATGCCACAGGAGGCCTCAGCGGCGCACCCGGTCCACACCCAGCCCACCCCGTGGTATTTCACGCCCAGCCCTGTGCGACCCCCGCGGGATTCTAGCAGCTCAATAAAGCTCTTTTTCTGTGGGAGCCACTGTTTTCCAGTTTTAGTCACAGTTCCGAAGGGTAACAGACAAGGTGTGTGTTTTAAACGTCCTTTTCTTGATCTGGGTGCCAGAACACACAGGGCTCGAGCCACCTGACACCTCTAGAGCCCAGGACGAGGCCCAGCACCCTCCAGGGACCGGGCCTCATCGAGGTGTGCTCTCACAACCCAGCAGTCGTGCCTGGCGGCTTTCCGAGGGCCTGCCTCCTCCCCTGGCAGGACCAGGGCCAAGCCCTGCGAGGTGCGTGGTTGTGGGCAGGGCGCCGGGCCTCGCGGTGTGTTTGAGCTGAGCCGCGGTGCCTTGCCGGGTAGAGAAGAGCACGGCTTCCTGTGCCTTCTGCTCAGAGGCTGCTGTGGGGACAGGAGGGCTGCAGCATCCTGTGGGCCGGACATTCAGCGGTCATGGCATTGCTGCGCAGCTGTCTGGCAAACTTCCATCAGTGACCCCGGGCTTTATGACTCACCGCTGCAATTTAGCTGTGATGGACTTGGAGCAAGGTTGACCTTGCAGCGGGGTTTAGCTGGTGTTCGAACATGCAAGTGAATTTCCTGGGGTTTAGCAGCATGGCACCTCTGCACCCCAGCCTGCCCGGCACCTCTGCACCCCAGCCTGCCGGGCGCCTGCACAGGTGCATTTGCCAGCGCCCTTCCAGCTCTTGTACTCACTTAGGTGCTTCCGGGAAAAACAGTTCAATTTGTGCAATCCATGCTTTAAATTTTATTTAATTTTTAAAGAGTGCTCTTAACACTTGAAAACAAAAATCAGCCTGTTTTGTACATAAGAACTGGGTTTTTAAAACGCTAATAAATCCAGCACTGCTCATGAATCAGCTCACGCAGCTTGTCTTCCCTGCAGTGGCCTTTGTGGGATGATGCCAAGAGGGTCCACCCGTGCATTTAGCCCTGAGCACCCCTCGCCCCTTCTGGGTCCCCCCAAGACCTGGCACCCTTTGCACGTGCTTCCTTCCTGCTTCCCGGGTTCCTGCCACCCCTGCCACGCCGACCCCCATGCGTCGTGGTTCCTGGGCAGCGTGGGCACTGCCGTTCACATGTGCCTTGTGTTCACACTTGCTGGGCATAAGCCTGCTTGTGCTCGCCCGTCCCTGGGACCACCGCCACGCTCCTGCTTCTGCACCCACACCCGAGGTCAGCTCTGGCACGCACTGGGACCAGCCCAGAGGTACCCCTGCACCCTGTCCGGAAGGGGGGCTGCAGTGGGGTGAGCGAGTGGGGCCTGGCACTGCAGCCATGAACAGCAGAGTCCTGGGAGCTGCTGCACAGGACCCCAGGTGTTCACCCACCTGTGCAGTCGGAGGGATGACGTGTTACCAAGTCAAACTGTGATCCTTAAGAGGTCTGTAATCCTTAATCACTTCCCAGGGAAGGAGGGGTCTTTGTGTCTGGGGCTAGAGGTTCATTCATTTAATGCAAAGAAGGGGAGAGGCCTGATTTTCAGTAGGTCATCCTGGGGCTCACTGCGTCTCTCTGGACAGAACGGGCACAGGTGGAATGGAGGTGTGAGGGAGGGAGGGCCCTGGCGGGTAGTGTGTGATGCCCACCACCCACATCTAGAGAGGGAGGGTCTTCCACAGACAAGGCTCCGAGTCTGAATAGTCAGCAGGTTTTCCCAAGCTGAGACGCACTGGCGTGGGGAAACCAGGCCCTACATTTAAGTTGCTAGCCCCTTTCCTGCTCCTATACAAACATGAAAGCATTGCGACCTTGATTTCCCCATCCCTCACAGCCAGGTCTCCTCCGGGGGAGGCTGACCGGGAGTGGGGAATAGTTTGTTGTTTGCAGGATCTTCGGGGCTTCTGCTCTGCTGTGCTCTGGACGAAGAGATGTTCCCCCGTGTTGACGAATTTCCTATCTGAAACTTTATTCTAAGTCGCTATAACTGAGAGGCGAAAAGCTACTGAAGACCAGTCTACAGGTGTACGTGAAAACACGTGTCCAGTGTTGGAAGTCTCTGCTTTCCACCCCACCCACAGCCACGCTGAGTGATGAATTAGTGAGGTCTTCTGAAGCCCTATTTCTCGGTGTTTCCTCTCATGGTGGGAAAAATCGGCCTCACACAGCCAAGCCTCCTCGGGGGAGGACAGGCTCTCCTGTCCTCGTCGTCTGGGGACGCTGTGCTCGCCTCTTTGTTAACGGTTCTGACCGCAGCGAGGCCTTGGAGAGACATCAGGACCCAGGTCAGAGAGTGGCGGGGTCCTTCCCCACCCCCTCAATCCCCTGGGGGGGCAGGCTGACTGCAAGCCCAGGGCAGGGTCCTGCAGCCCTCCATAAGACCGCCCATCTGCATACTCTTCTCCCTGCTCCATGCTAAAGATTCCAGCAGGAAAACATGCCAAAAAGATCCATTCATCATCACCAGAGTTCCTGTAAGACTTGTTGTGTGCAGAGTCAGGGCCACGACCGCGGGGTCCGATGCCCGTGGCCACACGTCCCTGGGTACACCCCAGGTGGGCTCCAACCCAGGGGCTGTAGGGCCCGGACTCACCCCAGGGGATGATGTCAACATCCTCCAAAACCTTTAGCAGGCGGACAGGAGTGCGGCCACCCTGCAGCTCCAGGGCCCCGGCCCCAGGACGCAGATGCCGGGAGCCCGAGCCAGAGACACTCCTGGGCTTTTGGGAAGACGGGCATATATGTTCTATCAAAGTTACTTCTGTTTTCCATCTTCCCAGACGTTTACTCTATGGAGAGGATTCCATTTAGAATACACGTAGAGTCTAGCTTTACCTCGTTAGCAGCGCTGACAGTGCAGTGTATTAGCCAGGGTGCATGAAAGCACCCCGTGCCGGTTAGGATGCACAAGTCCGTCTGGGAGGCCGCCAGCGAGCCCAGTCCAGTCGGCCCCACCATGGCCTTCGGCCGGCAGCAGGAGCCTTGTTCCACCGACGGGGCCTCCCGTGCACTTGGCTTGGACCAGTCCCGCGTGCAGCACTCACCATTTCCTGCCGGGGCGGGGGGCGGCGGACGGTTATTCCGCCCCATGGCTCTGTCCCTCCCTGGAGTCGCTGGCCTGCTGTTCACTACCGCCAAGGAAGGAACTCGTTCTTTTTGGTGAGTTTAGAAATTGGTTAAAAAGGCCCTCTTTTTCTTGTTTTGATTTCCACAGAAGCTAAACACAGAAGTGTCCTCACTATTTCGGTATTTTTTGTGAAGGGCTATACAAGCTACTTTCCGGTCTGATGCCTGGAAGAGTCCACTGGTTTCGCAGCTTAGAAAATCACCCCACAGAACCCGGCCTCAGGCTCCGCGTCGCATCTTGTTATCAAGAGTGTTTCATTTTCTCTGGAAACCATTTCCATCCCAAATTGGACATTAAGAACGTTGCCAAAACATTTACTTACGCGTATTAATAATAAAAAGGCCCTAATGAAGAAAGAACCAGGCACCGTGTTGAATCTCTTCCCACATTCATGGGACTAAAACTTTTGTGAATGAGTTATCATCCGGGGGAGGGAACAATGACTTCGTCAGGAGCCCGTGCTTCCGGGCTTCCTACGATGAACAAGTCCTGCTCTCAGGAAGGAAGGAGGGAGAGCTAGGTCTGAAAGACAGATACCGGCCCAGAAGAACTCTCCTCATTGAGGACCCGCTACATCATAGCAAACATGGATCGAGAACTGCAGAGAGAAAAGTGTGTAATTCCCTGCCTGCTGGTTTTTTAACTTTGTACTGAAAACTGAAAGTGAACACCAAGAGAGAAGTCCCACGTACACATCACCCCCTCCATAGATCTGGCCTCCCAGGCCTGCCCCTCGGTGGCTGTGGGGCATTCGCAGGAACTCCAAGCTGGCCAGTGCGGGTCAGGGACAGGGCACTCCTGCTGGTCTTCCACACACGGCACCCGACCCTCCCACCCGCCGTGGCCTCACAGAGTTGGTGCGGATTTTCGCCAGGGCGCTTTGTAACAGAAACCCACTCCATGATTTGTCATATGAAACTGCACCCAGGAAAGACACAGGGTGGGCTACCCAGGCATTCCTGGCATCAGGCCACAACTCAGGGCCCAGGACGCCCACGGTCCTGCTCCCTGATTACCGATGAGTCGGGAATTCAGGATGTGGCAACGTGTTTAATGCAAGGTCAAGCTATTAGCATCTTTTCCATCTTAGACGTGAAACAGAGCAAATAGGGCATTAACAGCCCCGTCTGCGTATTTTTCTAATCTAAAGAGAAAAAACACTTTCAGGAAAAGCAGTGAAGTTGACAACTGGGCAAATGATGAGAGAGTAGGGGGAACACTTCATCCCTGAGGGCGTCAGGAGGCCCCTCAATCACAGATGGATGGCTTGTTGATGTTGTAACTGGGGTGGAAGTTGAACCGGTCATAGGAGGTGATGTAGTTGTCGGGACCTGTCACAATGCTCTTCTCCATGCAGACGTTGAAAGTATTGTTCCGGAACATTCCACCAGCTGCAAGTTGTCTGGAAAATTTGTTCGAATTTGGATAAAATACTTTCTGGAAGTGAAAAGGGACACTCGGATTGATGGGGCGTGGGAACACCCCTGAGCAGTCAGCCACGAGGCATTTCTAAGAAAAGTAAGAATTTGTAAGAAAATATCATCTCTGTTCCTAGGAAGCAGAGAGTCGGGGTGGGCGGGATGGCCCAGTTCGCCCCAGACCATCCCAGTTTATACCCAATGTCGGGAATAATTGTTGACAGTGCCTCTGTTCACCCTGGGTGGACAGCAGGATCATCTGCGGGCCACCTGCCCCATGCGATGCCCAGGGTTCTGCTCCTGCCTCTATGCCGCTAGACAAGTTACTGGACCTCTCTGAACTTCGGTGTTCTCTTCTGTAAGAGCCATCCGTGAGTTTCAACCCTGACTGCAGGTTCGAATCCCTTGTGGAGCTTTAAAACGCCTCTGACGCCCCCACCCCACCAGCCCAGGGGCGTGGGGAGGCGCTGCCCTCGTCGGGGGAGGCCCCCAAATGGGTGGCCCTACGGTCCTGGATATCCAGGGGACGCTTGTGCTGGTCCACCTGGGCCTAGGAGGGGCATCAGGAGGGTTTTAGAAGGGGGTTCTAGACCTCCAGACTGTGAAGTCGATCTCAAAAAGGGGGTGGGGATTCCCCAAAGGTGCACAGATCCCCACATCCACCCATGTGCCTTGTGCAACCTGAGATTTGGGCCAGTACTGCCTCTTAAGGTTGCAAGTTAGTTAAAATCAAGTATTATTCCAGAAAGAAAGCAGCTGTTCACTTGTTTGCCTCAGAACTCACTGCCCTAAGGTACCAGAGGTGGTGGTGTCTACCTGTGAAAGGGGCCAGTCTTTTGGGACATCTTAAACCAGTCTACACGCACCTTTTTCATCCTTAAAAACATTTCATTGCTAAAGTTGCTCGCTCACTTATTTCTACCCTGCCCTGTTTAGAAAGGATTTGATGTGCCCCCTCCGGCTTTGTGATGTTGGAACTTTGGGCCCCTCCCTGCCACCTTTTTGAAAAATCCAGGGTGGTGGCCTCCTCCTGGATATGTTCCATGACACACACACACACGCTTCCCACGTACCGGCATCTCATGCACAGTGGGGGCTCTGCTCCCGTAAGCCTGGTTACTGGTCCTGTACACCGAGACAGGCTCCTTGGTCCTGGCAGATGAGAAACACCCTCTATTTTCCATTCAGTTATTCTAATGCTGCCCAAGCCACAGCCTTAGAATATTTTGACAGAGCTCTGTTGGGAATGCCACAGGTTGGCAACATGGCTGTGAACGTGGGCTCCGTGGGACTCAGGTTCAGCTTCCCTGCCTCCTCTGCTCACCTCCACCCCTGCTCTTCCCAAAGGCAGGGCAAAGCCCGAAAGAACTCCCAGATGGCAAATGCAACCCTCAACCCTGGCAGGGTGTTGGCACATGCTGTAATGTGCTGGATAGATGGGTAGGTCAGAAGTGGTGGCTCAGCCTCCATACCCTGCCACTCGAGGCGGGGGGGGGGGGTCCCTCCACTCTGAGCCTCGTGCAGAAAACATGCCTACAGTCTCTGATGCTGACACAGAGTTTAACTGAGTGGCTGTGGTTCAGAGGTCAGCGCTGCCTTATGCCACCAGATCTTGGGCAAGACGCTATCCTTCCATACCCCAGCTGTCTCTCCTGGAAAACAAGGATAATAATGAACCCCGTCCCCAGGACCGCAGAGGAGACTAGGGGAGGGAGGGCAGGGCAGGTGGTGGTGAAGGGTTTACTACTATGTATGTCTAAGGGTTTGCAATGAACAGCTCGGGTTGCCAGATTCTCATTCGGCAGAGGCTCCTCTCAGCCTAGAGACAGGAGACTTATCCCCGCACAAAAGCGTGGCGCTGGGCCCAGTAGCGGGCTGTGGGATTTCCTGGCCACCCCTGCTCTTCCTGCAGTGACTGGAGCCCCCGCCCCCCACCCCACGGCTAGTGCTCCTGCAGTTTCAGGCACTTTCTCGCTCACTGGGTGCTAACAGCTGACCCCGCGTTTGACTTGGGCTCCAGGGCAGGCTGGGGACCTGGGGACTCCTGCATCCGAGCCTAGTGAGCAGAGCCGCCACTCTAGCCCCTGCGCGGGCCAAGCGGCCCCTGACGGAACTCGGTCCTCACCCATAGCCCCGAAACCACGCCGGGTTCTTGAACCTGGCCGGCAGGCCCTCGTCCACGCGGTAGTAGTCGCTGGTCCTCTGCGGGGGCGCGGGGGCCGGGGGCGTGGGGGCCCGGGGCTCCGCAGCCACCGCGCACTCTCGGGGGCTCTCCTCCGACATGCGCCGGTGCTCCGGGGCTGCGGTGGGAGACCGCGGGAGGCGGCGCGGCGTCCCGTTGCCAGGCGACGGCCGGGTCACCTGACCGGGCGGCCCCCGCCTTAAAGGCGTCGCGTCAAGCGGCCGCGGGACCGCTGGCCGCTCCTGCGCGGGGGCGGGTCGCGCGCACGGCCTCCCCGCCTTCCCCGGTCCCCTACATGCAGGGGGACCCCAGGCCTTGGGCTTCACCCGCGAAAGGCCCACTCCCAGCTCCGCACGGCCGCTTACTGCGTGCCTGGGCGTCCCCGGCCCCGGACGTCTTGCAGACTCCAGATGCGCCTAATCTTATGGGACGCTCCTTGGGAAAGCGGCAGGTGGTACTGGACTGGCCACAGGTGAGGAGGGCCCCCACGGAGACGGCGGCTCGTGCGGGGTGCAGGGGCGAGCTAGGGGACAGGGCGGGGAGACGCGCTCCCTCACACCTCGCACTCGCCCCGACCCCAACCTGTCCCTCCTTCCTCGCGTGTCGGTCGCGCCCCGGCCGGCGGCTGGCCGAAGTCGGGCTCGTGCACGCCTGGCCGGCGCGCGCGGACCCGGGAGAGGCCAGCGGTCCCACAGGGCGGGGCCGGTGGCCGAGCCGTAGGGCGCGCAGACGCACCTCCGGGCCGGCAGGCGGCGCTGCGGCGGGGGGGGGGGGGGCTGGCGGCGGCGGAAGGAGCGCGGCAGCGAGAGCGCGTCGCTGCCTCGTCCGCCCTCTGCGCCATGGTGCCCGCTGCGACCGTGGCGCGGCTGCTCGGCGCCGGTGAGTGCGCGCGGGTCCCGGGGGCGCAGTGGGGGGAGGCCCGGGGCGGGGGTTCTGGGGGAGCAGGGGGGCGGTGGGACCTGCTCCCAGGCCTGCGGGTCACGCAGCGCCCACGGCGCGGGGAGCCGGGCCCGCGCGCCACCAGCCTGCTCTCTCCCCAGGCGTCTGGCCCAGGCCGCTGCGGCCGCATCTGCTCCCGAGCGCGACCCCGGGGCGAGCCCGACCGGGCGGCAGGACACTGGCAGGCGCCGCGACGCCCGCCGTCAGCGAGCCCCAGGACAGCGTCGGTAACGCAGGCTCCTCCGCGGGCTGAGGGGGCTGAGGGGACGGCGCCTGGCCTCCCGTTCGCCACGAGGAGTCCCGAGTGCCCTGGCTTCGTGGTGAAGCCCTGGGGAGGGGGTGCGGGCCCAGGAAAGAATGGGCATCCTGCTTCCCTCTCTTGCCCCAGCAGCCCCGCATGCTCTGGGCAGGGGTCACCTGCCCTGGAAGCGGCGCTGCCCTGCCCTCCCTCTCAGCCACCCTCATCTGAGAATGGGGCTAAGGCCACCGCACCCCTGGGGCGGGTGGGGCGAGGGAGACATTAACACGTGGCTTGGCTCCTTGGGAGGTGCCCTCTGCACTGCTGAGTCCTCCCTGGACTCCTGATGGGGGGACCTTCCTCTGGTGTCTGGGAGGTACCAGAAGGACCTCAGAAACCAGCTGGGCCCCTCCTTTTTGGGTGAAGACTGGACCGGGGTTACCCAGGAGCGCAGTCAGAACCTCGCTCCGGCCTGTCTCCTGGAGAGGACCCTGTGGCACCTAGGGCCCATCTGCTGGGCTTCACTGCCCCTCCCCGCCCCCATGTTGCTCCCCTCCACGGTTGGGAGCTGGGGGGGGGGGCCACAGACCACGGCATCCTCTCCCCCCACCATCCCAGATACCAGCGACAAGATCCTCAATGAGCCCCTCAAGCACTCCGACTTCTTCAATGTCAAAGAGTTGTTTTCCGTGAGAAGTCTCTTCGATGCCCGCGTGCACCTGGGCCACAAAGCAGGCTGTCGGCACAGGTAACGGACACCCCGGGCCGGGTGTGGTGGTGCCGGTGGGGCCTGGGACCCTCCAGCCTCAGGATCCGTGCGGTCCACGGCCCCTTTCATAGTGGCACGTATCGGTGTGAGTGCAGGCCCGTCGTCGGACTCCGCTTTGGTCCCCACACCAGACGTCGAACCTGTGAGGCTCCCGGCCCTATAGCAGGGGCAGACCCGCCACTGGCAGCTCCTGTGAGCCAGGGCGGGGGCGGGGGGCCCCGGGCTTGCAGAGAAGGGTCTCAACGGGACGGCTGCGTTGCAGATGTTTTGGAGGGACGGTTGGGAGGCCAGGGAGGGAGGTGGTCGGAGACATCCAGGGGGACGACGATGGGGCCCAGCTCCCAGGGGCAGAAGAGCTGGAGCTAACCCCCCCCCCCGCCCTGCCTCTTGGCTGTCACTGGACAAGGGTCTCCACTGCTGTCATGGTGGTGGGGTTGCAAATTGTGCCAGTTCTGGGGATGGTGTACCCTGGAGGCCATGGGCCTCGCAGCCCCCAGGGCTGTCCACAGAGGGCCCCGGCGGTTGCTGGCCGAGGTTGCCCACGTGCATTTTGCTCACTCTTGCCTTGGTGGGGTCTCCGGCAGGTTTATGGAGCCGTACATTTTCGGGAGCCGCCTCGGCCAGGACATCATCGACCTGGAACAGACGGCCGCACACCTGCAGCTGGCATTGAACTTCACGGCCCATGTGGCCTATCGCAAGGGCATCATCTTGTTTGTGAGCCGCAACCGGCAGTTCTCACACCTGATTGAGACCACGGCCCGGAACTGTGGCGAGTACGCCCACACCCGCTACTTCAAGGGCGGCCTGCTGACCAACGCCCCGCTCCTCTTGGGCCCCATGGTCCGCCTGCCAGACCTCATCATCTTCCTGCACACGCTCAACAACGTCTTTGAGCCCCACGTGGCTGTGAGAGACGCGGCCAAGATGCACATCCCCACGGTGGGCGTCGTGGACACCAACTGCAACCCCTGCCTCATCACCTACCCCATCCCCGGCAACGATGACTCGCCCCCGTCCATCCACCTCTTCTGCAGCCTCTTCCAAACCACCATCAACCGGGCCAAGCAGAAGCGGAGGCAGATGGAGGCCCTGTATCGGCTGCAGGGCCCAGAGGGGCCGGGGGCTGGGGGTCAGGGGTCGGCTGCCTCTCTTTCCCTGGGAGCCTAGGCTAGGCTGGACCTGGGTCCCTCCCGGGGACGGACCCACTCCCCTCCTGACGGAGAATGGCAGCCAAGCCTGCCCCTAAGCTGGGAGCCCCTTCCCCTTCTTGGCCATGGTCTTTAGCAGGTTCCCCGTTGCACTAGGCATTGATTGGGTCCCTGCTTTTGGTGACCGTTCTGGCAGCTGCCCCCCCGCCCCGGGGCCCCACTTCAGACCCATGGGGCCCAGCAGGCACACAGAGCAGGCAGCCCGTCCAGAGAGGACCCATCGGGAAACACCCTTGTCCTGGAGACTGAAAAGCCTCACACCTTGAGTTTTGTCCTCACTTTTCAGTCCCTGCCAGCCTACACCACGGCCGGGCTGCTTCCTCCACGGCACGGTTTCTGGGGCTGCTGTGTCACGTGAGGCCACAAGGCGAGTCCCCCGGAGGATCCCATCTGGGCTGGGACGGGCCAGGCCAAGCGGACAGCATGATTCCCACAGAAATAAAGCTTACATTTGGACAAATGTGGCTCTGGGGCCTGTGGTTTCCACAGTGTGGCTTATGTGCTTTTGTTCGTGGATATGTGGCATTTGTGAAACCCCCACGGGGCCCACAGAGCCCACAATACTCTGAAGCTTCATGTGCTCAAGCCACTTGGCACTTGGTGGCACACGTGGATTTGTGGAGCCTTCCCTGCAGCACCCGTCCCTCCGAGCTCCAGAGAGGCTGGCTGTGAGGAGCCAAGACCCCTTGAAATCCAAACGCGTTGTAAAACCATGCTGTGAATGGGGGTCCTGGGACCTGCGTGGGGCCCCGAGAGCCCAAGGGGGCCAGAAAGCCATACAAGGCTTGAAAAGCAGGCTGTGGAGGGAGGAGCGTCCCAGGCTGGCCCCCGGGCCACTCAGGTCTGGGCTGGACAGTGAGCAACATGGGGGGGGGCAGAACACACGTGGGACATGGGATTGGCCCCATCCTGTCCTGGTTTAGGGATTGGGTACAGGGCAGCAGTCCCCCCAACACACACCAGCGAGGGAACTGTACTGATGGCCGGCCTGGCCCCGGCCCTCTGTCCCCTGAGGGTCCCCTGGAAGCTGTACACGGAATGCTGGTGGAGACCAGCAGGGGTGACAGGAGTTGTTACTGGTCACAGCCATGCTCCCGGTCCCGGGGGCACTGGGGCCACGGCAGGGCAGGCGGGGATCCCCTGCCGAGTGGATACCTAACTGGACAGGGAGACACAAGGGAGCAAGACACCTTCAGGGTGATAGGGACCCAAAGGCGAGGTGCAGGCTTCTGGAACAGACAACGTAGGGCCGCTCCAGGAAGATCAAGGAGGCCCCCAGGCCATTTCTAAACTGACCTGTAAGACTGACCCTGGCAGGAGGGGACCTCCAAGCTTGCCACCCTGGAAATGAACCCCAGGAGAACCCAAAGCAGCCAAAGGAGACGGTGAGTGTCACGAGGCCTGGGAGAGGCAGGTGACAGGCCTCCCAGTGAGCACAGGGGGGCTCACCCCCAGCCCTTACCCCGCCTTCCCTGCTGCAGTACCTAACCTGCCACGTAGACCTGACCTCCTCTGGGCCCGGGCAGGGACGCGGCCTGACCAGCTGGTGAAGCAAGGGCCTGAGAGAGTCAGGTTCCTGGATTCAGGACCACGGTAAGGATGAGTGCCATGCCACCAATGAGGGCCACGGAGCTCAGGGGCAGTGTGGGGACGAGGGCTCTCCAGGATCGCGCTCGGGGAGGGCCAGGAGGGTCTCCTGCCCCAAAGCCATCCAGGTCACTGACCACCCGGGGTGCCACGACCGCTGTGC